CCTAGCCTTGCTCCAACTCCAAGGGGGAAAGAAGACTGAGGGAGAGGAGACTTACATCAAGGGACGTATGGGATCCATCAATAGTCCACAAGATTGATCCATCATCCCATACGACATGACACGAGAACACGCGCTTGCTATGGTTTCGACGTCTCGTCTTGTTTGAGTTGTCTCGTTCCGCTTCAGCTCAGCTGTGCCGGCGGCCTGCCTCTCTCTTGCAGTGGAAGCAGAAAAAAAGACACACAGACTCGTCAACGCATCTCGTACTGAGCTCCCCGGAAGCCTGTGCAACAACGCAAAATGCAAGCTACGAGTGCCAGAGAAAGGGAATCCCTTCCAGAGGAACGTCGACGGCAAGGTTCAGGTGCACTTGCCGCAGAGTTGCGGCCCCACTGAAGAAAGTGTGGCAGGTCGAACTTATCAAAAGTACACTTGCCGCATTTCACAGTCCCAACATGGAAATCGACAATCTAAAAGGAATGGAAGCTACGGGCTAATGCTCTTTTCCTACGGATACGGATACCTTGTAGTCGGCTTTCAGCTTCAGAGCGTGCTTACACCGCAACCCACACCGCGGCACTTCAAGAACCACCAACCCTGCACCTTTCCGAACAGATGGGATGCTGGCCCAAGATACAGAGTGCACCTACACTCCGGATATACACCATGATAATGCTGTTTGACAATTCTTGCTCCCTCGAGTTTCGAGCGACAAGTTCATGCGTTCGTGTTGGTCGTTCCGGTCGACCTCATTCCTCTTGAGCTTGGGCCGTCACGTCACTCGCCATCGTCATTTCTGCAAAATGAACCACCCCAGTCGGCGGCTTCTTAGCCTTCTGGCAACCTACAGACGGACTGCCTTTTCAGCAATCCGAGCAGCCTTACCACCACTCGATCCTTATTGTCACTGCCGCTGCCCCCTCTACTACCCACACGGATCGACAGCCTGCTTTCTTCTTCCTCGCCGCAAATGGCGGCTTTGCGGTATCCGGCTCTACCTATCCTTGGCCTCCCCCACGGGCTCGCGCTTGGTCTGCGGCTTGCTCTGAAGCCTGCGATGGTGGACAATTACGTCGCTCTCTGTCTCGGGTCGCTGCCAATCTCCATCTGCCTTGGACATGCAGAGTATCCGTACAGACACACTTGTCAGGCCGTCCTGTGTAGGACAATCGCAGGTCTCAGTCGGCTGCCAGCCGCCCACGTCGTCGTCGACATCTTGGCCCGAGGTCGACGGGCTACCACCGATCGCCAGGTACGGTACTGACTAGAGCCATGTCACAGCAACACATGCTCAGAGCGCCACTGCGACCTCAGTCCACGTCCACCCAGCCGTCCACTTCTCGCCCCCGTTACGACGGCACGCAAAGCACCAAAGCAAAACCACGACACCGGAACAGAATACACCAACCATATCTCGCCAACTGAGCAATCCTCGTCTGCCGTCCCAACTTGGTTCGGCCAGCCTGTCAACTCATCCTGTCCAATCCAAGCCCATCTAGTGTAATCACATCCGTTGGAACCTGAGCACTGCTTGTGCATATCTTACACCCGGGGCGCCTGGATAATGCCTCCCGCATAATCATCAGAGAGACAGACGGCAGTCGCCGTCAGTCGCGCCTCTCTCTTGCTTGCTCCCAGCAGCCTGCTCCGAGCAGCCTGCTAGCTGTGAGGATACATGACTGTCCATGTTGCCACGCGACAAATGGAGCAACCATTGCGACCATTTCCGGCCGCTGAGGCCCGCCGCTGCGCAGACCGACAGTCGCTTTTGTCTGCCTTTTGCTGCTCCAAAGCCGGGCCTGGACAAAAGGAGAGCAGAGACGGCGATGAATTGGGACGAGTGACTTTGGGGCCCCTCCTCTTCACTGACCCTTTCCGACATCTGCCCCGGTCAGACTGCCAGAACAGGCCGCTGCGATTCGTGGGTGCAAGCGGCCCCTGTCATGCTGCTGTCGTCTGCCCCTTGAGCCCGGCCGCGCTAACGCAGCTCAACAACGCCAAAATCGCGTCGGTTTTTACTTTTTTTTTCTTCCTTCTTGGGCTTACCGGGGACTGGAGGCTTTCGCAGCACGTCGCTCGCTGTGATCAACTGACAGGATGGTGGGGTGCCTTGCTGTCCCACGCTTTCCCGATTCTGCTCAGCGACTCCCAAAACGCAACGCTGCGATGCAAGTCTTGGGCAGCCACTGCAGCTGCCGCATCGTCAACCTCGAAAGGAGAAATGTCTGGCAGTCACTTTGGGTTGGTCTGGCTGTGAAGATCACCACCACCTCCGTTGCCGTAAAACTACCAGTACCAAAGGGGCAACTTCATCACCACCTGGCGTTACCATACCCATCCATCCATACGGAGTACAGCATCTCAAATAGCCCAGGCATGTGGCCGAAGACGCCCAGGGCAGACGCCGGTCCCCTTACTCCAGGTACCAGCCGCTGTTCCCGCAGACTAGCATAATGGGCCCCCACCCGTTTTCCGCTCGTCTCACTCGGCAACGCGTTGGTTCGCCAGGTCGCCGAACCTTGACAAGTTAACAATGGGCGAGCCGCAAGTCTATTCCTTTTCGGGCTGAGATCTTGAGGGAGGAGAGACAACTCACTCTCAACGCTGTTGACTTGTAACTGGGAGCCACCGGTCTACCGCTGCTGCACAACAAAGGGGACGCATGCACTGATGTAGCTGTCTGGCCAAAGCAACTTTCACCGGCAGGCATAAATAGGTTTCCACGTCAGTTCTGTGTGTAGTATCCGTACCAAGTGTGCGGAGTATCGATACGGATACACAATCATCCCTTTTTCAGCGTTCGCACTGTCTTCCATGACCCGCGTCTCTCTCGAGAGCTGGACTGCCTGCTTGTGAGCTTCGGCGGAAAGGATTTGTGGGTGGGCCTGTCAGAACTCCGAAAGACAGGGCAAGGACGCTCCGTGGTCTGAAGAGCTGGCATCCATGCTGTATCCGTACGGGTCAAGGAGACACGGGCCCATCAACTAACTTGGAGCCTGGAGGAGACTCGTCGTGCGGTGTACCTCGTACCGCATTTTCGGCGTTAACTGAGCATTGCCTTGTTGCCTCTTGCGAGGTACTGCTCGCGGATTGTGGTCGGAACCCGTTGTACGAATACTTCTCACTCTGTATACGACTTGTCTCGACCTACAGCGGAACACTTTTCTTCTTCCCCGCGAACCAGGCGACACACACATTGGACGCTGTTTAGAATCACAACGACCGATAGACCCATGTCCTTACGTTGGTGAGAGAGCGAAACGGGCTGAAGAATCAGCCAATGGTTGTAGACTTGCAGCTTCAGCTCACACTTCGCATGACTTTCACCTACGAAATGCTTGGGTTGCCGGCTTGTTCAAAATTTGTTCTCGGCCGTACGAAACGGAGAGGAGCAGTGTCAGGCGTGGTTCCATCACGACGCAGCTGCAGCAGTGGACCAATATGCTCTTGGAACTCGGGAATGGCACAAAACTTCCAACTCAGCAGTCACGTAATGCACCAAGCCTTTGAGAATGTGGAAGGCGCCTCTTGTGCACAGTTGAAGCAATCGCCAAGGGGGTCCCTCGTCGTCGATTCTAAGCCAGCAGTAGCCCGGATAAGGCCGCGAGATCGAAGGCCCAGCCAACGAGGCCGGGGGAGCGGGCAACGGCTTTCATTCCATATTGAGATGTAGCGTCTTTACGCTACGGGAAGTTTTCCCTCGAAGATTTCCGCGGCTTTGGTCTGAAGCTAGCCGGGTTTCATTTCTCATCAAAGAGTCATGGTCCCTTGACAATTCGTGGTTCGACTGGGCCTTCTAACCTATTAGTAACCAGACGTTGGGAATGTATCGGTATTACTTAACAGGTCTATAGAAGCTAAGATTACTCGACCACCATACCTTATATCTACTTCTACCTCTTATATTTTTATAATAAAACCCTACTTAATTAACTTAATTCTTTATAATTTTATTAATTTATTTATTTAAAATAGATCTAAGTTAGATTTTTAACTTTTTAAGGTTAGCTTAGTTGTTTATTTATTTTATTTATTTTATACTTTCTAATTTTTAACTATTAATTCCGTTATATTAATTATTATATTTTAATATTACGTAATTCATCATTAGTTATATATTAAAATATTTATTAAAATAATATAATTAATTATAAAATTTCAATAACTAAACTCTTTTTATTATATTATAATATTAACGTTAAAATAAATTAATAATAAAACAAGTAAAAAGTCTTTTAAGTTTATATATTCCTCGAATAAAGAAGGGTATAAGAGTCGAGTGGTCTGAGCTTCTATAGACCTGTCAAGTGATACCAATATATCCTCGTTCTGGGCGGCGACCCTTTTTCTAGATTGCTCGATAGTAGTGACTGGGTCATCATTCGAGCCGACACCGCCGCAGGACCGCCGCAGGGTTGCGAGCGACGAAGACACGCGAGCTACTATTCCTGGAACATGTCGTCTCGCAACATGGGCATAGAAAGTCTGCGATGCTCACGAGATTCGTGTGCCGGGGACATATCACTGTGTACAACGATGTCAAGTCCACTCACGAAGCACCCTAGCCACTCGGAAGCGATATGGACTTGATTCAAGAGTTGCTTTCGGAAACCTCCGTTGCCATGAACTTGGCCATCGAGGCATCTCAATACCGAGCATGGATATTTAGCCTGACCGAGATGCTGCAATCTCCTTCACTGACAGCCCAGACGGCGCAATCTGAAGTCACATCGCGCTTCCCAAGCATCTATCCAAGAAGCGGCTGATCCCAGGTATCCCAGACCGAGTACCAGAGCGCAGACGTGCGGTTGGCCACTTCCGACTGCGTGGCAGTGCTAAGTCAAACGCGGCGTGCAAACCCAGGCCCGCCTCAAGCCTCGTTCGTGGGATTTTCTTAAGATGTGCATGTTATAGGACCCCCTTTGCCTAGAAACAATCGACCTGGGGGATCAGTTATGCAGTACGCGCACATCACAACGCCGCATCTCCTCACATCGCCATGTCAGGAAACGAGGCCATGGCTATCAGCTAGACTGGAAATGTCGCCGTCATTGCGCAGATTGTTGAGTGTGATCGGGTTTCAGCCCACCTTTCGCCCATTTCAGCGGCCAGCCTGCGCTGCTCAACTATCTTGGCTCATTATCCCCGGGCATGTTCGCCATGGTACTCTGTATGGCGATCAGCCGGGAATCTTGGATGGCAGATTGGGCGTTCGTCTCTTGCTCGATACAGCCTGACACTGTCCGGGAGAGAAGTTCCCCGGAAAGGCGCGGCGCCTCTTTCTGTCGATCTCTGGAGCTCGTCTGTGGCAATCACCAAGTCATCATCGCCGTCACCCTTCAACCTGTCATTGTGTAGGGAATGCGATGCCTACGTTACTTTCGTACCATGATTTGGGACCGAGGCAGCAATTACATGTCAACGCAAGACGCTTGGATATGGTTCAGCTGCTCCGCGACCCCGTCAAATCGTGCAAAGATTCGGTGCGGGCGAGTTGGATTTATTCGGGCCGCCAACCGTGCCAAGCCAGCAGACAGCAATGACCAAAAGTCACACAATTCCTCGTCACGCCTGACAACTTGGACGTTCCAGGCCATACTCTCATCGAGAACTTCTCCTACGTCCTTGGCCTCCATGGGCCTAGATCGTGCAGACAACGAAGTCCGGAAGTCGGGATGCACTGCAACACAGAGCCAGAACATACACGCGGCAGCACACCTAGCCAGACTGTGGTGTGGGGGCGTCTCCGGACCATCGCTCATCCGTGGGCGTTGTAACCTCTTCACTGAAGCCGCTTCGCGATCCTCATGAGGTGGGACCTCTGCTAGCCCCGAGACATCGTTGGCCATCTTTGATGTCTAACCAATGCTGCACATGCGTCCCGTTGGAGGGCGGAGGCTGGTGGTATTCGCGAGATGCGATTGGCGGCAGCAGGCGACAGCAGGCGACAGAAGCAAGGCAATGCAGATGGCAGCTTTGAAGACAGAATCTCTTGTCCTCAGCAAAGCCTTTTCAGCAAGGTCGCTCCAATTCATTCGCCTTCAGTATCAAGCGAAGCACAGCCCTGCGAAGGGCTGAGGACCCAGAATGTTCCCGAGATGTCAATGTTTAGTGCACAGGGCAGAGTCAGTCCACGACGTTGCGCGAATTCATCAGACACGCCGCTTTTCAGCGTCCTCGAGGCAAGGCGGGGACATGAAGACAACGGCGCCGAACTGTGTTTGGCGTTTCCTGGAGAGCGGAACGCTTGTAAAGCTAGCAAAGCGGCAAGAAGACGTTGTCTCACTTTTTGTCCCAGTTACTTGGCGCCTTTGTCCGTGCTGATTGGGTGACCTACGACTTGTCAGTCTCAGCCTCTACTACAACACGCGTATCACGCATCACGTATCACGTCGGCGTTTGACGAGCAGCTCTAGGCTCTAGCCTCTACTCCGTACTGCGGCTAGAGCCATCTGAAGATCCAACCCTTGCTCGCTGATTCGGAAAGACTTGCTGGTGCAAATGTATTCACGTCAAATTGCCAAGCATAGATGGATCGGATCAGCATCGCCGGCCAGAGGAGTCCAACCAGAAGACGACAATAGGCCGAGGGATGCAAAAGCGAGGGCATTGTATAACGAGGTCGGATCGATCATCATCTCACCGTCTTTTTTTTTTTATACCGACGCCTGTTGCACACAAGTCATTCCTTTTCAGCATAAGCTCTGTGCAGTATACGTATCCGTTATCCTCTTTCTTTCTCCCCTGTTCGAGCTTCGTGATGGTTTGCCGAAGTAGGCACTTCTCCCGGCGGCTCTCAAACGCCATACTGGATCAGGCTGCGCCTCGAGATGTCGATGTAATCTGCTCGTCAGACATCTACCCGTCGTTCCACTCTGACGATTCGACGAACCCTCCCCCGGAGATGATATTCGGCAAGGAAGATATACGGAGCACCATGTGGACTGGAAGGGTTCCGAGTGTAACCACTTCTATTTTAGTGTCTCCTTGCAAGGACGAAGAACCCGACGCCGTGGATGAAGTTCAAGGTCTTCGCGGAGAGCGACTAGCTGCGGAGTACAATCAATCGGCTCGACATCGCTGATGCTTTTCCAATCGTTCAACAGGGAAAATATGGGCAAGAGATGTCCGCTGTACAGTGGCGAGCCGGCATAGAAAGTTACCTTCTGGAACGCGAGAAACGAGAGAGGACGCAATTGTCTAGTCTAGTATCGAAGGCGTGACGCCAACAAACACCACGGAACATCCGCGCAACACACAAAATGCCAAGTGACTAACATGGCGTGCAGGAAGACTTCCACAAGGCTTGCTAAGAACTAGAGGAGTCATGACCATGCATGGCTCCAACATGCGCATGGGAGACGAAGCTTTTTTTTTTTTTTTTTTTTTTTTTCCTTTCCCCTTTCACGATATGCACGAGAAAGGGGTTCGGTATCCCTCAAACCTCTTGACTCCGGACAGCGGACAGCGGACCGGAAGAGATATATGACAAACAACGGCCTCTTGCGGTAACATCGCCGCAGAAACCCCCCAAAAATCGATTTTGGTGGCTACGAATACTAGAGTTTATTAAAGCGCAATGACGATCTACGAGGCAGAGAGTGAGTGGCTTGGTTAATCAACAGATGGATGGATAGTGGCATCCATGATCCAGATTCTGAACAACTTTTTTTCCTTCCTTCTTTTTTTTTTTTTTCTCTGCTCCAAAGTCCAGGGTGGAAACAGCGGCAAGCGGGAGATTGGGATCAAAATCGGGCCCTGGCGGCCACGTGCGGTGCCGACAGTGACGACTGACGAGATGGATGAGGTGCCGACCCTGCCCCCTGCATTGTGGAGGGTTACCGGTAAGTAAGGACTAGGAGTCTGCGAAGGTTCGTTTTTGTTCCTTCACAAGTTCACAAACCAGCATGGGATGCTGGGGGCACGGGGAGAGCATGCCGGATTTTCCCCCCCTTCGTTATGCGCACAAGCCGCAGGCCCCATGCTTCTCATTAAACTCGACCAAGGGTCCTCGTCACGGCCGTAGTAAAGGACCCGTGGAGGACGCGTGCGACGCAGACAACACTTGCATTCGACTGGGCTGGGCTGGTGCGTGCTTTAGTTTCCACACATGCTACGGACAATACCCCATCTCTGCGACGACACAATTTCCTTCTCGCTCGCTAAACTGAGCACAGCCTCACGACATGGCCAGCTCGAGTCAGTTTTGCTCTGTCCGCTACCGAGTACCGAACCGGTGCAAACAATGCGGATACTGCCGGACGACGTCTATCGTGTGTTGGAACCTTTGGAACCTTTGGAACCTTTTGGGACTTCTTTGAAGTCCTGGGGGCCTGGCGGATGCCGGATGGTAGACGCGCGAAAACAGAGGCCGTCGCCGGGAAGCAGACACCAGAGCCCATTGTTCCCTTAACAGCCGCGCGGTTTTGCCTGCCGGCCCGATGACCTGCGTCCCGTAGGTCGGCCTTTGCTCGCCAGCTTGCACTACTCGAACGCTCCAACGCCATTGGGAGCTGTCACCGTCAAAAGACTCGTCACTCAGCGAGGCATGCGATCTATCCGTGTTGCAATCTCCTCATGACTTGTCTTGTGGTGACAACTATGAAAAAATAAAAAAAATAAAAATAAAAAAACCCCCCCCCCGGAGATTGCTGTCATCCCTTCCGGTGTTCTGCTAGCGCGCCGCCTCAACGAGATGGAGATGTAGCTCCAACTGAGCCGGCCCTCTGTGTACCTGCAGCATCAACGACCGTTCAAAAGTTTAACGCTCATACTAAAAAGCCTGGAGGCTGTCCACATCAGCCCTCCACATGGAGATTTCGAGATTGACATTTTCGCGCGCGAAGCCTATGTTGGCTTAGCCTTTGAGGTTCCTGCATTCGCCCATACGAAAAGCTGACGTCCGTTGTGATACATGTCGGAATGACATGGTCGGACGCCTGCTTTTGGATGGGCTGCGCTGTAAGCAAACAAACCCCGCCTGGGTTCCTGTACCGGCATGAATACACTCGTCGTCTCTGTGTGCCTAGGTAGACACTCATCGTACAGCTGTCTCGGCATCATCCGCCAGATTCTCTCTAAAGCTGATCGTACCTGCAGCCACCGATAATCTTGCTTGCTCATGAACAAAACAAGGCATCGACACTTGCAACTGTGCTGTGTCAGGAGGGAGGAATCCTTCCGCTGCTGTCCGACCCTTCTTTACCAAGTATCACGTCCCGAGGAGTAGTGATAAACGACATTGTTCCACTCAACGGGTTACACATGTTCACTGTCTGGAGCAACACACCCACGGCTCAAGCACGACGATCTCCGAAGCTGCCTGCAAGATGCCGAATTCTAAATTCGCCTCGCAGGCTTGTCTAAAGTTGGTACCCTGAGAAGAGCAGAGCACACACACACACACATACACACACACACAGTCCTGCAGGCAGCCAGGTCCGTCAGCATGAAGCTCCGAAGCTGACAGGTGATATTTGTGTCTTCGGGACCTTGCAGCTCCGAATTACGAAAGGTGGTCACAGGCCGATGTAGTTTGCCTTGCGTACGGAGTAGTAGACTACAGCGGGTTTGTCGTTATGCAAAGTTACGCCACATCCACGGTCTCGGGACCGCTCCGCTCAGCTCTGCAAAGACTGAGATAGGTCACTAGAGACCAGTCCACCGGATGCGCTCGGCAAGCTCTCTCTCTCTCTCTCTCTCTCAGACTCTCGTATACGGGCTGCTTTTCGTGAAACGACCGCGGACTTTTGCGGGTTGCTTTTCTTTTCTTTTTTTGCCTGACCAGATGCGGTGCATCGACCGGGCTGAGACCTCTTAACGTTGCTTTTTCCCTATCTCAAGGTCGCGAGATCGCAGCAATCACTCGTGGTTGGGGGAAGAGCCCCCGAGGAACCTGGGACAATGACGAGACGAGACGAAGATGTGTCGCGATGTGTGCTTGGTCTATCCTGCGCCTGAAGCTGATTTTCGCCGACGCAGGCTGCTTTGTGCAAACTCCTGGCAGTATAATACAATACTTCCGCGTTTGTCGGCGAAACCAAAGGCAGCGGCGGCGGCGAGACGAGTGGTAGTCAAGGACTCACTTGACTCGGCCGAAGGAGGATATTCTTGGATCCTGGGGTTGCACATGTCGAGTACACAACATGCGGCGGGGACTTTGTCTCCAAGGCTAAAGACATTGTCTTGGGCGCCTTTGGGTACCTTGAATCAACTTGGTTCGGTTCGGTACACGCCCCCTCGGTGAAGTAGATAGATGATGATGATGATGATGTTTGTTTTGTTGTTGCACTCACTGACTGCCTCGGATCAAAATAAACATCACGGAACTCACGCGACACAGTTATTAGGGATCTTCAGGTTCGGGAAAGGGGACCCCGTTTCAAGAACTATTTCTCATCTGAATCCAAAGTTGCTCTCCCTCGATGAGACGACGGCGGGGACAAAGGTTAGTTTGTGTTTGCCCTTCGTCCCGCACTGGCCGGACTGTATTCCGTCCATCATCTCTTCTCGGGCCCTTACTCCCTTGGGTTTTTTTTTTTTTTTTTTTTTTTTTTTTTGGCTCCAAGAACTTGTTCGGTTCCAAGGGAACGGTAAAAAAGCGTACGATGTTGTCATACTAAAGTCTATACCAGCAAAGTCTATTCATGCTCTATCGATTCATTAGCAGAGCCTCCATTCCTCACGCCAGACAGCCGGTACTAAGGCTTCGAAACGAGGGCGTCGGTGAACTCTAGCGTGACGACACCGTCGCGACTCTCCACGACCTTTACGGAATCGAGGTCCCTGACGATCCAGTCGGGCTCCGCGCCCGCGACCTGCTCAACGGTGTGGCTCGTGACGAGGCCCAGCACCTTGCACCCGGCCTCCTTACCGGCCCTGATGCCGGCGGGACTGTCCTCGAGGACGAGCACCTGCTTGGACGCGTCCTGCAGGCCGAGCTTCGCGCGGCCGATGCGGTAGCAGGTCGGGTCCGGCTTGCCGTTCTCGACGGACTCGGCGGTGACGAGGTGTTGGGGCTGCGGTAGTTTGAGCGCGTCGAGCCACCCGCCCACAAGGGGTTCCGTCCCCGAGGTGACGATGGCCCAGGGAGCGGATTTGGCGATGAGGGCGTCGAGGAGTGCCCTTGCCCCAGGGATCTCGACGGCATCTCCTCCGTAGAGTTTCGGAAGGCGGCCTTCCATCTCACGCGTGTCTGCGAGTAATACTTTTGTTAGCCTTCTTTCGCGAACCCCTGAGTTGGCGATTTCCCCCCTCCTCCTCCTCCTCCTCCTCCTCCCGTTCCCTCCCCCCTTGCGTCATGAAGTGAACATGCATGAAAAAAAAATTGGGGAAACCTGACCGACGGCGCGCCGGTGAGTCGTGTTTAGGTAGGTGAAGTAAGGGGGGAACGTTAGATCAGGGACAGAAACAGGAACCAAAACGCGAGATCAGACAACGGAGATCTGAAGATTTTGTTATTGTGTGTTTTGTACTCACACTCCCAATTTGCTTTTTCAGGGGCCAGAATCTTCAAGATGTCGATGCTACGACGGCCGTGCGAGGTCTCGAGGATGACTTCGGGCGCGACTCCTATTTCGTTGCCGACGCTGCAAGGGAGAGAGAGAAGACCGGTGTTAGTGGGGTTTCGAGAGATGAGAGTGAGAGAGGGCAACCCCTCATGCAAGGGACGAAGAAAGATGATGATGATGCTGATGAACCGGTGGAGGTGGGGTTTTGCGGTTTCCTCTTACGTGTGCCAATGCTTCACGACGGCCTCTGTTGAGTCGATGATGGTGCCGTCCATGTCGAAGAGGAAGCCATCAAAGGTGATGCGTTGCGGAGGGGCCGTGTACGACATATTTGTTGAGTCTGGCGGGCAGAGTTAGCGGCGTATCTCTCGGATGTAAGTTGTGAATGTATACCTGAAGAGCGGAATGGGTTTGGTTTTATGTTCTGAATCTACGTTGATGGTCCTTTTATGTTAGTCCTAAATGAGAAATTTGTTGGATTCAAAAGTCTAGTTGAGATTACGAGTTGAAGTTGAGTGAGATATGACTCTGAAAGGATCGTTGAAAGTTCCGAGTCGGCAACGACAACCTTGGTAATCCGCCTTTACCAGCCCGCTATTTGAGCTGCGGCACCTTTCCAGCGGTCAGAAACACCGAGACGGGCATTTCTGTCCACCGGAAGGACCCCCCCTCTGACACTGCGGCAGCGGTACCGCGGCAGTACCGAGCGTTCTGTGGTCCACCGGTTCCAGCACGCCTTTTTTTTTCCTGTCAACTTTTTCCCTTATGTCAGCCGTCGCGGGGCAAAGTCGACCATGGCGGGGCTCCTGCTTTAGGATTGGCGTCGGGCGGTGAGGATTCTCAAGTGGAGAGCGATAACGATAGCAGAGGCGGTGTGATATGGCAGAACCCGACCTCCCACTAAATTTTTGAAAGTTGCAAGGACTGAGCGAAGCGCCAGGAAAGTTTTGCGGCGGTCGAGGTAGCAAAGTACCAACCAAGCTCACCCCCATACAACAAAATCTTGCCAAATCAACTTGGTCCGATATCACGATGGCTGGCTCAATTAACAAACCCAAGAGTATGTGACTGTGTTCTCTGACTTGTTTAGTGTCTTTTTCGTTTTCCCCTTTGACTAACAGCATTTCTCCGCAGAGCCAAAGTCCAAGAGGACGACGGTTCGCCTCCGCCACAAGATCGAAAAGAAGTCGGCGGCGAAGCAGAGGAAAGACAGAAAGAAGGCCAAGCAGAACCCGGAATGGCGCACCAAGCTCAAGAAGGACCCGGGTATCCCGAACCTGTTCCCCTACAAGGAGAAGATCCTCGAGGAGATTGAGGAGAACAAGCTGCGCAAGCAGGAGGAGGCCCAGAAGCGTCGCGAGATGGCAAAGGCCGCCAAGACGGGCACCACCGTCGCCGGTGCGACCGGCCAGCAGGTCGACGTCGCCGACGACGACATGATGGTTGAGGATGATGATGAGGACGACGAGGACGACAAGGACGACTCGAACCCCATGGCCGCTCTCCTACGCAGCGCGAGGGCCGCCGCCGAGACGTACGAAAAGGAACTGCGCGACGACGACGACGACGAGATGGACTCGGACGACGACTCGGGCGACGACTATGACGCGCCCGCCGAGATCCCCGTCGGCAACGCCACCTCCCGCAAGGCCTTTGACAAGGTCTTCAAGAACGTCGTCGAGCAGGCCGACGTCATCCTCTACGTCCTCGACGCCCGCGACCCTGAATCCACCCGCTCCCGCGACGTCGAGCGCAGCGTCATGGCCGCCGCTAGCGGCGGCAAGCGCCTCATCCTCGTCGTCAACAAGATCGACCTCGTGCCCCCCAAGGTCCTCAAGGACTGGCTCGTCCACCTCCGCCGCTCCTTCCCGACCCTGCCCCTGCGCGCCTCCAACCCGGCGCCCAACGCCCACACCTTCAACCACAAGGAGCTCACCGTCCAAAAGACGTCATCGGACCTCTTCCGCGCCCTCAAGTCCTACGCCGCCAGCAAGCAGCTCAAGCGCGCCGTCTCCGTCGGCGTCATCGGCTACCCCAACGTCGGCAAGTCCTCCGTCATCAACGCCCTCCTCGGCCGTCTCTCCGGCGGCCGCGGCGCCTCAAAGGCCTGCCCCGCCGGCGCCGAGGCCGGCGTCACCACGAGCATCCGCGCCGTCAAGATCGACAGCAAGCTCACCCTCCTCGACTGCCCCGGTATCGTCTTCCCCTCCGCCACCAACGCCTCGACATCGGGCCTCGTCTCCCTCAAGAACGCGACAGACGCCCACGCCCACCTCGTCCTCCTCAACGCCGTCCCGCCCAAGAACATCGAGGACCCCATCCCGGCCGTCACCCTTCTCCTGCGCCGCCTCGCCGCCTCCCCCGACCTGCTGCAGAAGCTGACCGACGCCTACGACCTGCCGACGCTGCTGCCCAGCCGCACCGACGGTGACATCACGACCGATTTTCTGGTGCAGGTCGCGCGGAAGCGCGGCCGTCTGGGCCGTGGCGGTATTCCCAACATCAACGCCGCTGCCATGACCGTCGTCACCGACTGGCGCGACGGCCGTATCCAGGGCTGGGTTGAGGCCCCTGTCCTGGCTGTCCAGAGCGATGCCAAGGGCGCTGCGGCTGCTGGCCCCGTCGCTGACGACGTTGCCGCTGCGGATCAGAAGACGATTGTCACGGAGTGGGCCAAGGAGTTTGACCTTGGTGATCTGTTCAGTGGACTTGCTGCCGCTGGCGATGAGGACGAGGCGATGGAGCAATAAAGGGGTGGTGTGGTATAGTAATGGAGAGAACATAGTGGGAAGAGAGAGAAGGAGCACATGATATCAAGAAAGTGGAGACGATGTTGTGGTTCCATTTCTTGGGTTTTAACTCCCTCATGAAGAGCCTGGCTGGCTGTTAGATTCCTCGTTTTATTTCACATGGCGTTTTTGGGGGCGGTCAAAGGGAAAAATAAAAAGCAAAGAGTGACGATTAAGCCCACTGTCCTCGTTCAACACATGCTCCTTGATACGGAATGTCCTCTTGATTTGATCTGACCTCTACGGGATTAAAAGGACTCCTCTCATCCCCAGTGACCTCCTGCTTGCCATCCGTTTGACAGCGTCTGAAGAAAAGATTGCATTCGCATGGCGTCTCACGAAAAGCCATGATGAAGTACCGGATCACAGTCAGGCAGACGAGAACCTCGCGCTTGGTGATTGACTTGCTGAACCTCGTAGCCATGTTCATACCAGTCTTTCGCGGTGTCAATTGAAGACTAGAAAAAATTTCGCCAAGCCCAACCCCGTTGTGCTTGATGACCCACGCGTAAGCTGGGCCGGGAATGCCCTCAGAATACGACTTGGGTTCCATCTCAGCCCAAGGGAAGTTGGCCTTTTGAACGCCATCTAAAGTGAACCAATAGTCTGAATGTCAGCAAGCGTTGCCTTCGTTGATAGACGAGTTGACTCGATGGTTGGGGCACTGACCTGGGTAAAACCAAAGTTGTCTCCAGATCTGGAAATGCATCCAATCCTCTCCGATTCGGGGGATGTTCTTCTGCAAGTTACGCTTGAAGATTTTAAGCATAAAAGCATGTGCAGCGTCTTCGAGTTCGTCGACCATTATGTCAGGCTTCCTTCCAGCTAAATTCTGAAGCACCATGCACTCCACAGAAGGATTCGGACGGTTGTTCTCGGGGAATGTCTTCAGCAGGGTCTGTAACTTTATGGTCCGCCGTCCACCAAACATCCGGTCTTTCCACGCAGTCTTCAGCTGACCCCGAGAGAGAACAAGCGATGAATTCTGCGGCGCAAATGGCTTGGGGATGCTGGGAACTTTGGGTGTCTGCTGAGACTCGTGGGTGACCGCAGGTGTCGATGGCCTCTTACTGGGAGATGTCTTTGTCTCCGTAGCAGCAAACGTCGCCGGACTCTCGACTGTAGGTATGCGTGGTTCTATGACTGTAGCTGTCAAATCCACGACTTTGGTTGTCGTAGGTGTCTTGAACTGGGGTGCTACTTCGCTGGTATCGGGTCGGAGGCTCACAATGCCTGTGATGATGGCATTCCCGCTGTAGTCGAGAATTCTGTCAATCATGGCATGGACTTGCTGACGTGATCCATGAAAAGCGAAAGTCTCATCCGAGATATGATCGATCACGGGCTTTCCAAGGCGTCTAGTGTTGCTAATATTGACGGTTATATCTCCAGAGTCGTCGGTATTCAAGGCGACGTCGAGGTGTCCGAAGACGGGCTTGATGTTGTCGGAGGCCGGTGACGACAGTCTGACTCGCTTGGCCGATGGCTGAGATGACGCCTCAGCGGCAGACTCGCCGTCAACCTCAATCTTTAGTCAATCTATGGATGAAGTGTCAGGAATTCAGACGATATAGAAGGGGTAATTTGGGAGGGCAAACCTGAGAATGAGATTGATCTGGATGGTGGTGTAATCTGGAAGTTGGTTTGGGTAAGGTGGAAGGGTGAGTGTTGTAGGTAGGCAGGAACGACCGAGGCTGTTCCTTCTCCTCCTGGAACACGTTCACTGAGTAGTATGGGACACTCACCTCGGGGACGGCAGGTTCCAGACAAGCGGGCGACTGATCCGTTATCAACAGAATACACCAGGTATGACTTTCTCTTTCATTGTCACTATACTAAGAATATACCATGGTGAATATAACAGAAAATTTCTAGTTAATATAATTGTCAGCAGCTGCAATTATAGTAGCTATAGTTAGTGAAAGTGATAAATAATAAAAGTAATAGAACAAGACTCTTAGAATTTATGAAGCTGTAGTTGCCTTGGGCACTGAACCTGGACTATGGTTATGAGGATACTGAGAGTTGTAAGTTATTCTACTAGGTAACTTGCCGTAAATAAGTTCACGAGTGAAAGAGAAAGCTATGTCGTTGCAGTCTATGAAACATTTGTTTTACCCGGTCAACTGTAGAATAGTTGCCGAACGGCGCCGTCGTCTTATAGAAAAATCTAGGTTGCTGCTTATCCTCGAATGTGCTGTTGAGGTCAGCTGACTTTAATACTGATTATTCGTGAAGGCCTTTGTCGCTATCTATATCAAAAAATTTATGCATCCATTGCACATGAGTTCCCAGTAGGTATCAAGCAGCATGGTCCATACTTGCTCTAGATATTTAAATCACGCCAAACGTCGCTCTCATACATAGAAGATTCACCTTCATTAAAATACTATCAGGCGTATAATTGCTTATAAAAACATTGTTGTTGAGCACCTGCAAGCAATACTCTTGAGTCATCTTGAAATGGCTGAATTAGACACGCCGGGGCCCTACGGTGGGACTCATTCGCTCGATAGAAATCCAACGCCATAGAACTCACGCATGTTACATTTCAGCGAACGTCTTGGAAATTGAATGAAGAACTTGGGCGGTGTATTCATTAGTGCTGAAACGGGGGAAGCCATATGTGGAGTCTGCGAAGTCAGGCCGGAGGCAGTCGTCGCGGCGTTGTTCCTGACCTGAGCAGTTGCCGGAAGGTAAGTAGGTGACTACTATATCACCTACCTTTAATATCAGACGCTCGTTCCCGGAACCGCTGTATTCTAGTGTATTCCAAGTCGGTCGGAGTACGTACTCACGTGATGTATAGGTGCCGGAGGTCAGGTGAAGTCGTCTCCATTCTTCCTACCTGCAAACGCCCCTGCCCTGCACTTCACTCTCACCTTCAACTGAAAACGTTACGTTGTTTTCCATCAACACAGTGATAGCACGCTGGTCAGGCGCTTCAAAGTGCTGCCTATAGAAAGGAAGAAAGGTATCTATCTACGTTCTCGCCAAAAGCTCCCCTCTCTCATGTTTGCGTGTCCTACCAATTGCAGCGGCCTACCTTCACAACATTATCCCTCCTACGACCACGTCAGAACAATTTCTCGAGATGAAGAGATGCAGACCTCACAGCTCCAGCTCCGATGCTTTGAACTACGGGCCTGATGACGGTCGACAATCAAGAACGGAGGATGGAAGAGACATCAATACGGTCAAAAAGACCCAAGACGAACGATGTTCTGGATGGCACTTTGTCGATGCACCCAGACGACGAGAGGCCGACAGAGAGCCTAAGCACGGAACACAATGTTTCTGGGAGAGACTCCGTACAGTTCAACGATGACGAGCGCAACATGGAGATTATAAAGCTTGAAGAGAAGCTCACGATGTTGAAGCGTTCTTCTGATCGTGATGTCCAAGACACCAACCAGGCGCCATACTTGCCTGCCGGACTTGACCTCGACAACCCCAAGTTGAGCTTCTACACCGAGAGTCAGAGGTTCGAGAATCAGGACGACATACAGAGTTTTCATGATGACAGGCTCGATAGAGCTCCCCCAAGACATCCAAGCCGCTCTATCAACGGCACAGACTGGAACGAAAGCCGCCCCGATCTTACCGGCTCCTATGAGCATGATCATCGCAATGACACCCACCGGGATACACAACGACCCGTTGCTGCCCAGTCGAGTGTCCAGAGGGGGGCATATCATCAAACTCCCTCTACGAGATCATTCCAGGGGACCTCCAGCGGAAGATACAACGCCAATCGCGCCAACCATACACAGAAGAAGCCACACGACAGAACCTCCCAAGGCGAAGCAAGGTCGGCGCCGCCCCGCGCCCCGCGCCCCGCGCCCCCGTGGCTGCCGCGGCGGACTTGAGACCCTCCCAGTACCTGAGCAACGGTAGTCAGAAGCGAAATAAGGTCTACCACGACACCGACATCCGCCTCCACAAGCCGCCCTTCCGAGGCAAAGTGAAGATGACAAGCGAGGAATGGACCCGGAACCAGATCACTACCTCGCAGTTCCTGTCCGGTGACCGCTTTAACCCGAACAACATCTGCTCCAACTGCGGCCACGCCGGCCACTGGCTCGGCGACTGCGTCTTCCCCGACGACAACGGCACCATCATGGGATGTCCGGTCCACAACACAAAGCTTCACGTCTTCGACGACTGCCGAGACCTGCCGTACATGACCCTCCAGCAGCGCGTGACGACCCTCGTCGTGCGCAGGCGGAACAAGCCCGCGATCCGGTCGAGGAAGCCGTGGATCGAGCTCGTAAAGGAGGCAATGGGCCAGGGCCTGGAAGAGTTGGTATGAGCGCCCTCGGTGTGGACGCAGGAGTTTGTGGTGCGTATGACTCACGACCGCAAAGCCCTTCAGCCATGGCTCGACTTCGATTACGGACATGACCTCGTGTCCAAGTTGCCCGTCGATCCGGAGACGCAGGGAGATCTTAAGTCTTTGCTCCGGAAGTCTTTGTTGTGGGACCAGGTTCATAGGCCCGTTCGCCAGGCTCGTTGAGCATGATGTTCGTTTTTCGGGGGTTTCGGGGTTTGGTGTTTTTTATCTGTGACCGGATGTGTATAGTACGAGGTTGAGGGCGAAGATGGACACGGACTGAGTTTGACGATGAATAATGTGCGCCTCCACAGGCTGTGTACGACACTCTAGATGAGCGAATATGGCATGGTACTATCTTGGTGCGGTGTCGTGTTGACCGAGAATCCTGATTACGGAAAATGCTTACTTGGAGATATGAGCATGACATGTTCGGTAACATGGGACAATACGTAACCGACTAGTTCTACTCACATTTCGCAATTCGGACATTACAAAACGAGAGTAGGCATAAATAAAATGGTTCATCTCTAGAACTTTTCGGTGGCTTAATCTCCGCCATCTTCTACTTCAACATCCCAAGACACCCAAGAATCCGTAATTATTTTTTCCATTCCCACGTCTCAGCTCATCCACACACGCAGAGCCCCTAAACGCTAACAAGCTCCATCTTGACACCCCTCTTGCCCGTCATCTCATCCTTCTCATCCGTAACCTTGACCTTGACCTTTTGGAACAGCTCCACCCGCAACTCCTTGCTCCCGCTCGTGGTGAGCACGTAATTCTCGGCGTCAAACGCGCTCTCGGGCTCGGGCTCCGCAAGGTCCCGCAGCCGAATCAGTCCCTCGATACCGAACCGCGGCACGAGCACCACGAAGCCGTTGCTGAAAATCTTCATGACAAAGGCCTCTTCCTCGGCGACCCGGCCCTTGAGAGCCTGGCCGACGTAGTAGGCGATGCTGGCGCGGCCGGCGAGCTGGGCGTTGCGGTGCCGGACGTTGATGTTCTTGCACACGGCCTCGAGGCGGCCGCGGCTGCGGACGGCAGGGTGGATGGCCTCGTAGCCGATGGCGGCGGCGAGCTGGCGGTGGGCGACGAGGTCGGCGTACCGGCGGATAGGGGAGGTGAAGTGCGTGTAGATTTCCGAGGCGAGACCGTAGTGGCGGAATTCAGGGTAGGCTTGGGTTCCAGAGCAGAAGTACTCTGCCGACATCATGCAGCGCGTGGCCATGATGCGGACCAAGGTGTTGAAGAAGGGGTCGACGGGGTCGACGCAGGCGTCGAGCGAGTCGGCGAGCGCCTTGCTCGAGTCGACGCGGAGCTCGAGGCCCTTTTTGACGCGCAGCTGGTTCGAGAGCTCGTCAAAGTTGGTCTTGGGGGGCGCGCCGTGGCGACGGAGGATGGCGGTCTGGGGGAAGGCCTCGTAGATCTTGGCGGCGACGCTGACGTTGGCGAGCAGCATGAACTCTTCGACGAGGGACATGGTGTCGAGGTGCTGCTTCGTCTTGACGTCGATGGGGTCCGACGTCTCAGACTCCATCTGCACCTTGACCTCGGGGGAGGACAGGCTGAGGGCGCCAGCGTCCATGCGCTTCTGCTTCAGCTTCTTGGACAGCATCATGAGCGTTCTGATGCTGTTGGTGAGGTCGTCCTGCTGCGAGGCGTCGTCGACGCGGAGCTGGGCCGCCTCGTAGCTGAAGGCTTCCTTGGACTGGATGACTGACTTGGTGAAGCGGGCGCCGACGACGTCTGCGTTGGCGTTCATCTCCCAGATACAGGAGAAGGCGTAACGCTCGACGTAGGGCTTCAGGGAGCACAGGTCGGTACCGAGAAGCATCGGCAACATGTCGATTCTCTTGTCGACAAGGTACACGGTGGTGCCTCGCAAGCTGGCCTCCGTGTCCATGGCATTGGCGGGCTTGACAAAGTGGGAGACGTCGGCAATGTGGACGCCAACCTCAAAGTTTCCGTTGGGGAGCGGCCTGGCGTGGAGAGCGTCGTCGATATCCTGGCAGCCGATAGGGTCGATACTGCAGATGAGGAGCTTGCGAAGATCCTCTCTATCCCTCCAGCCGGGGTCTTCCAGGCTCTGTGGTACTCTCCAGTCGTGGCCCTCCTTTGGCAGACAGTCGAGTACCGTCTTGGGGAAGGGACGGTACTGAACATCGTACTCCAACAGCAGGGCCTCCGTCTCCGCAGCCTTGGTCTCGAGCTCACCGAGCGAACGCACAAAGTGGCCCACGGGGTGCCTTGAATCGCGGTCCCAGGCATCAATCGTGACCAACAGACGCTTGCCGAGGAGCTCGGCAACCTGTCTCGAGCGCAACTTGATCTTGGGGATCCGCTTATCCATGGGGATGAGGAACACATTGTCCGACTTGCGACCCTGGCCGCCGCTCTTGCTCGCAGACGATGGGTCAATGTGCCCGACGTACTGTCGCCAGTTGCGCTTGATGACTCCGACGACCTTTGCCGTCGGTTGCGGCCGGCCCTCGGTGCTGTTCTTGTGCGTCTTCTTCACCTCCTCCTGCAGCGCCTTGCGCTCCTTCTCCGAGACAAAGTCCTGCGCTTCCTCCCCGTCGGCGTTCTCGTCGCGCGTGACCGCTTCTTCTTCGATGATCTTGGTCGACGGCTCTTTCCACTGATCCTTTGGCAGGACCTCGACGACGACGACATCGCCGCTGACGGCTCGGTTGATGTTCTCCCTGCCGAGAACGATGAGAGGCTTGGGGAACGCGGGCACGTGGATAGAGCCCTCCAGGTAGTTGTATGGCGAGACATTGAAGATGCCCTGGTGAAGGAGACCGGCCTTGACGCCGGTCATCAGCTTCGACATGGTGAAGTATTCCGGGTAGATAGGACCGGCGGGCTTCTTGGAAAAGCCCGAGTTCCTCGACTCGGCAATCATGTCCAGCAGCCTCTCGCCATCCTCAAGACCGCCGACATACTCGGAGAGAGACATGGCCGCAACGCCTTCGGCCTTGGCCTTCCTCAAGCAGTCCTGGTCATCGCTGAGCATCACGACGGCGGGCACAGTCTTGGCCTTTGTCTGCGCCAGGTGGTCGGCGTACCACTTCACCGCCTTGCGCACGGCACGGTCATTGCGGTCGTTGACCGTCTCATTGGACTCGCGGTTGACGTACGTCTCGAGACGGAAGTCGTTGAAGAAGACGTAGAAGCGCTTGTCCTCGCTCTTTGTGAGCCCGACGAGACGGTTGTACAGGGGCAGCGAGCGGTTGCGCAGCTCCTCGAGTACCGTCTGCAGAATGACAACGTCGTAGAAAGCTGAGCTCTGCTCAAAGAGGTCCATGGCGTTTAGTAACGCGTTGGTGTCGGGGACGATATAGTGCCCCTGGGGGAACGCCTTTGTCCCCGCCGGCTTGTCAGAGAGGATAAAAGGTTGAACTGGCAATCGTCGTTAGTGGTCATGCTCGTGGCGGTAAATCGAAATTGGGGCAAACTCACCATTGTTGGCTGCATCTCTAGGCGCCGTCTGCAGACAGGCCAGGCACAGCTTTGATGAGCAGGGGATATCTTGACGCAGGTAAACCTCCCTCACAATCTTCTGAACCTTGCCCTTCCTCGTCGAACGGACGTAGACCTTGCTCGAGATGTTGGCGGCGAAAGGGTCCGCCTCGAACGAACGCTTAAGACTCGTCGTCATCTTTGACTTGTCAATATTTCGGTCGCCTCGTTGTCGAAAAATGAGTTGGCGACGTAGGCTCTTGAATTTTCTTTGAAATTATTATTTCGCCGCCCCTTCACACTGGGCACTATTTGATGATGAAAATTGAAGTGAGGTGAGGCGCGGTCACCGTGGGGCGGCTGACAAACGAATCAGGAAGCTTGTGGCGCTTGAACGGTTGCTTATCGGAAGACGTCCCGACAGCTTATCATTTATCGATAACGTAACTACCAGCGTCATTGCATCAGCCACCTCACCGTGACACCTCAGTTCTGTGTACCCAAGGTACGTCTCGCAGACTTTCGGTTCCGAACGACGCATCATGCCGTGCACCCCAAGATCAATATCGTGGTCCGCCCTCTCGACAGCAGCTGGACGCGACAGGCTTGCTGAACCCGTGTTGTCACCATCAATCTAAGAAGGGCTGTCTTGTCCTCGCCGACAGCCTCATCGGGAAGTAAATCTTTGTGCAAGTTCAACCGGGACTCGGATGGGGCTGGCCCGAGGAGAGCCAAGTCACTAGAGTGTCTCTCGTATTACTACACTCTTCAAAATGTTTAACGAGCTTGTCACGGTGGATTTACTAAGGCACCCGCGCCGTTCCTCTTCTGACGACGGACGAGTATTGAAGGAGATACGAATAAGCCGATCAGCCGAAATCTCTCGGGTTCAAGCTTCGCTGTACTCTGAAATCCCACAAGAAACGCGTAGAGTTAAGATTCAGCTGCCGACTACCTAGATAAGAAAGCAAAACCGCTGGTCTAAAGCTACCCGAGTCCCCGTGTGAGCGCTCCGTCTGTCGTCGTCGGCGTCGTCTTTTGTCTTCCCCGACGAGCATGGTCGCACGGCGTCGTTCCCGAGTATCTGTCTCTCTACGTTGCGCGCCCCGGTTCCGCTCATGAGCGCACGGCGGGCGCCACGGCGGGAAGAGGGTAAAAAAATAAAATAAAAGCAATAAAAATAAAAGCTTGTGTAACTTTGACCCTTTTCTCGCTGGTGCCACAATACCCAAAAATAAGAAGGACGAGGGAAGCGATGAATGGGATTACTTCGTCCCATCAATCGGGAAACAAACCAACCTGTTTCGCAGACACGCCCCCTTGTGCTTGGTCTTTTGTGTTTGTGTGGTTGTTAGTATATGGATGTGTGTGTGTGTGTGTGTGTGTGTGTTTGTGTGTGTGTTTGTGTGTGTGTGTGTGTGTGTGTCTAGAGAGTGTGTCCCGCCTCAAACTTGACGTTTTCCCTTCTCCAACAGGACCCTCGAAAAAAGGATCCAACTCGTGGGGGGTGTGTGTGTATGCGTACCGACTGGAAGAAGAATTAGTAACAGTAAATCAATTAAACGAGGGATCAGAGCGGCGCGAAAACCGGGATTCTAAACGTTTTTGCTTACTGATATTCCGCGTTTGGTTATCAATCATCAAATGGGCTTACCTTACTTCGCCCATGATATGATCTACGGAAAGGAATCGCGAAAAAAAAAAAAAAAAGGGCTACGGTTACAGGGGACTCTGACCGGCCGCTGGCCGCTTTTGCCACGCCATGTCAGGTCAGGTTGCCCTGCTTGGATTCGGCCGCCCCGGTTCCGTGGCCCAGGCGGCCAAGGGGGGAGGGCGCACGCACACTTGCACGAACACATCGCTCGCGAGGCCACTGCGGGAACGGCCCTCATGTCAGCGTTGCATCCTGCTGGAAACCGTCGTCCCCTTGGGCCCTTCCCTCGATCTTACGGGGGAGAATCATGAATGGAAGGGGAGGGGACGGGGGCGGCAGGGCATGGCATGGCATGGGCCAGGTTGGGTTCTGCAGGTATCCGAGAACTCTTGGCCAGGCGCGGGAACGCACCAGGATGTGAGGGAGAAAACGGTTTTCCTTGACCAGCAGGACCAGAGATGAGACGTCGGCTGCAGAAGGCTGGGCCGTTCACTCTTGTCCATTGTTCTTCCATCTTCCATCGGCCCAAAAGGAAGAATTGTCGGAGCCAAACCAATTGAGGAAGAAACCCAATCTGGCTTTATCGAGTCTGTAGCGGCTCGACCAAGAGAGTTTTCCCCAGTCATGACAATAGAGAAACATCGTTTCGGCCGGGAGGCCGGGATCGTGGTACTCGGGGCTTCTTCCTGCATCGCAGTGCATCGCAGTGCCTCGCAGATGGTAAAGAGTTCGAAAACGTGGACTTTGTGGGACCCTGAAAAACCTTGGCCGAAGCAGTTCATTCTTCTGCAGGGCTTGAGGTGCCTCCAGAATCTGTTGCTGGACATCAGTCCGAGAAGAGGTTGACGTCCAAGGAGGCTCGAGGGGCCACAGCAAGGGCCACACCCCGTCGCATTCGCAGCGTACGAGTCAAGCGCATGAAAACAAGAGCAAACAACCTCCCTAGGTTCGGCTCGTCGTCTGAATAAGCTATGAGCAAGAGTCGTAAAATACCGTAAGCTGAGAAAGGCGAGACAGACTAGGAATGGGGCATAAATCCACGACACACACACACATCTGTGCGGAGGCGGGAGCTAAAAAACGACTGTCACGGGCTGGGCCAAACCTGTTTTACAAATGTGTTAATCGTCTCCATCGGGAATCGTTGAAAGAAACATATTGCGCCACGGAGTGGCCAAGGTGAAGCGTACGACGGCCAATGGCGGTTCTCGCGTGTCTGAACACGACGTCCAGCAAGGTCCATCGCTGTCGGTCATGGTCCTGGTGGTATTCCGTCGACCGGTAGGTAGTGTAAGGTAGGTAGGCATTGCGTAGGTAGATGGTCAGTTACACTGGCCATGGCAACAGAGAGGAGCGGCGTGATGTTCATGTGCCGATGATACATACCGCTGTGTCGATTGCACCCCGAATTCTCTTTCCGAGTGGTACGGTTGCTGTGTAAGAGTTGACGAACTCCGCCGAAGCCGTCCCAGGAAGCCGGCCACTGGCTGGCAGAGTGGCACGCCAGTCGGCGTCGGAACCCGGTTGGAGGGTCCCACGATGATCGATCCAACAAACCACGGACGCCGGCGAGGGTTAGGTTACGTTACGCATGGCCACCCGTAAGACTAGGCAACGTATGAAGAAGGAAACATTAGGGGCCCTTTCGGCGTCTGATGGTTGTATCAAGAGGTAGATGGGCGCTCTTTGTGGGGGTAGAGAGACATGGTCGTGAATGGATGACGCTGTGTTTTGGACATATTTGAAGAAAGGGTGACATCGTCTTGATCGCCCCTCCTCTCTCCCAAGCCTGCTGGAGCGTGAATCAGAGATGAGCTAGATGAAGGGTAGAAAAAGAAAGCAAATTACTGACGATGAAGGCATGCATATATCCCGTCCCTCCACCAGCGAACCTGGAGAGGGTAGGGTATGTCGCAGAGGAGCCAACCACGACCTATCTGTACATGAAGAACCGTGAACCATCGCCCAAAAACAATAAACGGGGGTCAGATAATAGAGAGGGTCAGAGGCATACCAATTATGACTTACATATGTAAGTATGCTGAGCTGGGGGTGTGATGGTTCAAGGTGGTGTAAGTGATGGTGTGGTGGTGAAGGGAAGGGAAGGGTGGTGGTCGTGTCTCCACAGCGGCTAGACACCCGCAGATGTACATTAGCTGCTGCTGCTGCTGATTGCTGGTTGCTGGTTGCTAGCTATTGCTGCGAACGAGAAGCGATGGAGATCGGAATCGACCATGCCTGAATGGTTTCCCACAAAGGAAAACGAGATGGGCGAGATCATGCCGTGTAGATGCTCTTCTGCAGTTGGAGGGAACCTGGAAGGAGAAGGGGGTGGGTGGGCAGGCAAGGCAAGGCAGGGCGAGTCGAAGAACGGTAGGGGAGGGGAGGGAAGACGAGGTGGAGGTGGGGAGCGTGATGGGAGGAGGAGGAGGAGGAGGAGGAGGAGGCTTAGGGGGTGTGGGAACTGCGAATGGAAGGGCACGCCGCACTGGAGGCACAAAGCCCCCCCCCCTTCCTCGACTGGACTGGTGACTGGCAGCTGGGTTTTGACGGGGGAAGGGTAATGGATGGGTATGGGTATGGGGGATGGAGGGGAATCTGTAGGAATGGGGGGAATGGATGAGCGTTTGCTGCACGAGCGGGTAGCCAGGGTCCAAAGGTAGCTCCCGCGCTGCAAAAAGGAAACACAGCGGGCCATGTCCACCTGCCAGTCCTTGCAACTATCCAAGTTGTAGTGTAACTTCTGAAGTTGTGAGGTGTTGTGTAAGTCGTTCCCGCCCCCATCCATCCAGTCTCCCGTTTCCCGTCCGTCCTCCTTACACTACAGCCACAACCCCTAGTCACCTTCCCCGGCCTCGTTCTCATCTCACTCAAGGCTTGCCTTGTTCAACCATCAATAACGAGAACCAACACCTAGTTCCATGATCATGGCCTCTCGACATCCTTTATAGGCTAGTGGTCCATGGAGCATAGACAGTAGATAGACCGAGGCTTGCTTTCATCCCCAGTCTCCCTCAAATCGTCGAGGCTTCACCTCCCTACGCTAAACCAGCCTGGAAGCCAAAGAAGATAATGACAGAGGTAAACAGCACTGTTACCATGGGCTGACGGGAGCTCACGGACAACACACCTACTAATGCTACCGAGACAACACTACCTCATTCAAGAAAATAGCTTAAACCGATAGCAATGAGCATCGGTTGGCGCCCACCCCCAGGTTAATAAGCGGCAAGCCTCAACGTTTGATGAAAGCACCTACCTGACACCCCTCGCCGACCTCTTTTGCTTCAGCCCTCCCTTCCGTTCTATCCCAGACCATTGGGTGCCGCTGCGCCGGCAATCACGGTTTGACAGCCACCCATCACAGCAAGCAGTGGGCATGGACTCGACACCACCCATCCCGAGTAGGAACATGGCCACCCGTTCCCGAGGTGAGGCCCAGACGCAAGGGCCAGAGCCGCTGTTGAGGCTAGGAGAGGTGTGCAAGAGAGAAGAAAGCCAAGGGCAGCTCAGGACAGCTCGGGACGTGTGACCACCGTCACCTCCCCGTACCTCCCATAGCAACGTCCTCTGCCTCTATGGCCCGTCTCTCTCTGTATGGATAGTGTATCCTCAAATGACGTTGGAACAGGAGATGCTGCCGATGCCGATGCAGCAGCTGAAGCAGCAGCTTCTCTGCACCATCATCCATCCATCCATCCTTATCCACTACCGGCAGCTCGCTGTGGACCACGATAACAACCTCTCGGTTGTTGCCGTGCATTTGGACTGGCACGGCTCGTTCGGGGAGAATTAAATGGTTGGAGGTGTGGAAACTCGCCCGCCCGTAGTCGCCACCCTCTTCGTCCGTTGTTTCGACTCTTTAAACCCTTTGGTCTTCTTCCACTCTTGCAGCAGTATTGCAGGCACTGCTGCTTCCCAGCTTGCATCAAATCATCCCAAATGGACGGAAAGGGAGCAGCACCTCTCGCACCTCTGGTGTCTGGTGTACACCACCATGCCGGCCGTCCCCTCCATCACCACCAACCCCTGCTTAACCATCCACCAGGCCATGCCTTGCTCGTGCTATGCGCAAGGAAACAGATGCCAATCCATCCTGAGGGTGGGGCTCTTTTTGAACCCATGATTTCTTGCTTGGCTTGTGCGTCGGTCATGAACGTGACTTGTTGATCCAATCGCGTACGGGGATTCGGGGTGAACCAACAGCCAAGGCGTTTCTAGGCCATCTTTTCGTCGATGTCTCTCCCCCCTCCATCTTCGCAATCGCTGCCGCCCATACCTTGCCCTATGCCTGCTCACTCCTTGCCGCAGGGCCATAGGTAGTCGTGCTGTAAGTGTACGCCGTAGAGCTAAGCTCAACTCTTCACACCACCTTTCCCTGAGGCAGAAGCTTCCCACGTACAGTCTGTCCCCTCCTCCCGAACAAGCCTGTCTGATTTCGTCGCTCTTGATCTTTTGATTTGTCCAGTCTTTGTGTGCTGCCCGGACTCTGCCCAGACGTTGAGTCATCTGGTTCGCAGTAGCTTCAGCATAGGTAACAGTAGCCCCTCGCTCCTTATCTGATCGAGAACCAGCCTCAGCCGCCGCCGAGGGACGCGTTCTAGAGGCGCGACAACCTGACGCGAGGCAACGACAAGCCAGAGCCTGGCCATCATGATCACTTGCGAAACAAGCGGGGAATTCTGACCGAAGCCACGCGGGACTTCTGCGGTTGACCGGTCTTTTGCTCCATTATGTCCGAGGCATCTCCGCCCTGCGGAAGTCGTCTCGGCGGAATCCTTCCTCGTTTCTCGATTTCAATATGCACACATCCCAGCCTTGAGCCACCTCGGCTGAAACGCATCCACTTGTCGACAATTCTTGTTTGTCGACCTCGAGGCTCGACCAAGGCCGCTGCAGAGACACGAGTAAGTGGAAGCTTCTTCACGACTAATAAAAACGCTCTTTTCGCGTCTTGCTTTCGAAGGTTGTCGTTGGGCACAGGCCGAGACGAAGCTAGTGAAGCGCCGTCTCCGCGCAAGTGCCGTTTTGCGGTCTTGATAGCGACGCCGCCGTTGCTTTCCTTGACCGCTCTCTTCTCGGTTGTAAAGTCCATTTCTATCGCCGCCTTTACGATGACGGGTTACCAGTTGGTATCGAGTTTCAGCTGTGGCGCATACTGATATTTGGACCGGGCTAGGGCCATGGGCCAGGAGCCAATGAGCGACGACTTTTGTCGATACGTGAACGTCCGTGATGCCCGTCAGCGATGGAGACCCATGCGGCACCTCGAAGCCTCTTTGAGCTGCCAGTCGCATGCTCCGCTGTCGCCTGATGAGGAACGATGCAAGTCGAGAGGCCTTTGTAGCCAATGCAAGATGTCCTCTGCTCTACCGTCGATTCTTCTTACACAACGGCTGCCCGAGCATGTCATCACCAAGGTCTCGGATCCGCGCAACTCCTCCGCAGTGGCCATTGCGATTTGGACCGTCGGCAATCGCATGTACATATGTGACTTCCCATAGCCAGATCCGTGACACCATGCTCATCTATCCGTACGCGGCCCTGTGTTTGGTACTAGCTACTTTGTCATCTGCATAGTCGTCGCCTGTGAGCTGAAACCTATCGGCTCTCTACGAGACAGCGTGACAGTAGAGCTCAATGATTTGGACGAGAGAACCCCGGAGGAGGGGAAGTGTCCAGAATCGCATTTCCTGTGTGAAAGAGAGACCCCGGTCAAGCTCAAGCAGATCAGCACAGCCTGCTTGCTTGACTTGGCTGCAGTGTCTTGCATCGCCCTTGTCCTACCTAACCTTTTCGGTCAGCTAATCGCCGACGGTAACATCTCACTTCTCCCAACTCGCGGCGACTTGTTGAAGACTGTGACTGTTCATGTGATGGGTACACCGTCGTGACCGTACTGTTTGTGTCGGTTCAGGTTCGCTTCAAACCCCTTGCTAAATGGACAAGACGCCTCAGGTCGAGGAACACATTTGGTAGTCATTTCGTCCGCAATGCTTCCCCAGCGTCGAGACGATGACGAAATGTCTCTTGTCTAGCCACCTTAGGCGGCGCTGGCCGTGCCCCTAAACGTGGCGCGTGATGTGATAA